ATTGGGGGTTTGCAACAACTCAAAAGAGCTACCTTTTTTTTTACCAAGAAAAGTAGCCTGTTTTTACTACCTTCCTGCGACACTAATTGAACGGTATACATAGCTGGGACTTGATTTCCGTAAAAATGTCGAATATTAACAAATAAAATAGTTCAAAAATACAGAGAATGCAACTATTGCATTCCATTTTCTTCCCCTATCGGCACCCCTTTTCGCCCCCCATTTGCACCCTCCTTTTTCGCCCATGTCCAAATATTGCAATTGCTTTTTGGCATACACAATATTTCCGCCTAACAACAACATTGGGACGAAGAAGAAGAAGAAGAAGAGGCAGCAAGAGAGAAGACGAAGGACAGGACAAAAGGAGAGGGAGGAGAGAAGATTGGGTGGTGGGGAGTATAGGTATAAGGGGAGTATGCTTGTGGTAGTGTGGGGGGAGGGGAGGAGAAGGAGAGAGGGGGTAGGTAACCAGAACAGTTATGCTAGAGCATTTTTGTTGCTGCCTTTGCGCTACAATTTTTGCACTTGCGTGTGTGCGTGTATCTGTGTGTTTGAGGCTTATGTACTCATGGTTTTTGTTTGTTTTTGCGCCCTACGAATAATTTTTGTTGCTTAGCTTTCAATGCCTTTTTTGCGTACTCTCCCGTTTCATTTCATTTTATCGGTGAGTGAGTGTTTGTGAGTGCATTCTGCCGACGTCGGCAGAGAGCGTCATCGTTTCGTATTATTTGATTCTTCTTCAGTCAAAAAAGGAAAACAAACAAAACAACAACAAAACACGCGGCGCGAGCTAAATATAATTATACGACAACATTAACAAAAGATTACCAAATAAATAAAAAAAGACACAAATCAATTAACTTAGTGAATAAAAAAAATCAAGCAAAATATCAAGTTTTTGAAAAATATAATTAACAACCTTGCCTTATCAGTTCTCGGTTTTAATTTTTTATTTAAAACCAAACAAATCCGACTCTTGCGCTCCATAGCAATGCATTAAAGCTGTTCATATTTTTTTCGAGTGTTTTATTCTGCCCGCGTCGCAGTCGCAGTCGACGTTGACGTCACTGCGGTCGTTGATACAAATTTTTACCTTGAGCTCATTTCAAGTTTAAATAAGCAAACAAAAATAAATAAAACCAGAAACAACAAGAAGCGAAAATCGAAGAAAAACAAGTAAAGACAAAAAGAAGGCAATAAAATATTGAGTAAGAAAAGGCAAGCGAAAATAAACGTAAGAAAGGAATTCATAAATATGACAAAATCAACAAGCTCTAAAAAACAAAACGAAAGCCGCATAATAATTGAATTAAACGAATAAAATTCAAAAAGTGTATGACCCCAGAAATATTACCCAGTAATAAAACAAATAATCAATAATTGTGTGTGTTAATTTTTTTCATGTGCACTTTTTTCCGCAGGCAGTTTCCTAAAAAATAAAAGAAAGATACAAATGAAAGATATGCAGAAAAAATAGATATATATATATTTATGCGTAGCGGTTTTATCTAAATGTATGTGCAATGCAAAATTGGCAATTGCAGACGCCCAGCTATCAACAACATTTCCATCATCATCTTCATCACCAGCAACAACATCATCAGCAGCAACAACAACAGCAGCAGCAGCATATGTTGCAAGTGCAGCAGCAGCAACAACAACAGCAACTATTGCTATTGCCGCAGCAACAACAGCAGCAACAATTGCTAGTGTGTAACAATCAAATAAATAACAACAATAATAGCAGCAATAGTTGCCACAACAGTTATCAATATAGTTACAATAACAATAACAATAATAACACCAACAACAACACCAACAACAACAGCGGCAGCCAGCAGATACAACAACAGCAACTAAACAACAACAACAATCTCGAGGACGATGTTTATTATTTGTTTTATAAAGATTTTTATGTAAGTTTCAAATTTGAAAAAAACGAATTGAATTGAATTCTTTAAGTCCATTTATAATTTTTACTAGCTTACTTAAATTTAAATTTATATGCTCTTCTAAATTCTAAACTCGATTGTGGCGCACTCACATTATCATATCTTATCTGCACTTAACAATCCACAATATCTATATAGTATCAGATACTTTTGTTGATCTTTCGCCATTTTACTGACTAATCTGGTTAATCTAAAGTTCAACTTGTGCTGTGTTGGAAATGGGGAAATATCATTTGGCTGAGTTCATCATAACGATGAAACACTCTGAATGACAATCGCATTAGGTAACATGAGGTGAAATCGTGAAATGAGTCACCGAAAAACCAACCCCCCATCCTCGATGTTGATATGTATTTTTACTCATGTTCGATCAGGCGAAACGCCAAAGGACTAATTTATCTATCCCTCGTATCATTTTTATTTCCATACATACTATACTATATATACTATACTTTACTATATATGTATGTAACTCTGGCCGTCGTCTGCATAACCCTTATGGCTATTTATATAACAAAGTACGAAATTGTGGAGGTAGCACAAATAAATTCTCACAGAAAAATGCATTTCAATGTCAATGCCATTACATCGCCGCCTCGTCTTTCGTCGCTTCTCTGATATTTCCAGATATTTTAAGCACTCGAACAAAATCAATAAAATTTAATTAACTCACTTACATGTCTCGTAATCTTCTGTCGATCAATAAAATAATTAATTAATAATTATTCTGATGTTCTCTATACTCTTTAATCAACTTAATAATCACTAGAAATTTATTTTACATTGTATAGACTTTGATCTATATCTCATTGTCTGCTGTTTATTAAGCCAAACTAATGCGTCACTTGGATGCATTTGTATTTCTCCGTACAATGTTAGAAATGGTTCGGGTGATATAACCCCTTATGTATTTGCATACTGCTTGCAGATACTTTTCGATATGATTCACTTCAGTTTATTCGGTGTGTGGATATTCTCAGTTAGCTTTCGCAATCATATTTTCGTTCTGTTTTCGGTTTACACTATTTGTTTTGCTAAAAGATTGCTCATGCAACCTAAAGTGGTATGTATTTTTTGGTACAAGAAAAGCATTTTGGCATAAACTATATGGTCTCTTGTTTATCCAAAAAGTGTCTGGAAAATGAATTTGGTACTCTTAAAAAAATTGATATTTGTATCCGTTTTCGCAGAACGGGATATTCATAAAATAAAAGTGTACCTTCACTATATTTAGGCATACAATCTTCTATTGGCATTTATTCATTTTATTGAATAAATCTTTCAGATTGTTGTTCACTAAAATAACAAACTTCGTTTTTTTCATGTGATAAAAAATGTAAAAGGCATAAGAAAAAATCCAAAAATATTATTTATTTCGAACTTGATGGAAAAGTGTAGAGCGGCGTGCCTTACATCTGCCTATCACCTGCCTGCCTATTGCCCAGCCAAGAGAAATGGAAAATTCAGAGAGAGGTAGCAGTCGTGGAACATTATGGAAAGTAAACAAGAGCCCAAACGGAAATTCTGTATCTAGATATAAAACGTATCTGTGTCTCTTGCTCCGTTTGTATGGGTTTTTTTTTTGCGGTCTGTGTGTGTGTGTGTGTGTTGGCTGTGTGTGCGCCTGCATTGAAGATAATTGAATGAACGATTCCGCTTTTGTTTAGCCCTAAAACTGAACCTGAAAAGAACCGTGCGAAATTTGCAACCCCGTCAAGGGCCAAAATATACCACAAATTCTTACTCCCTTGCTGCTGTTTGCCATCCGCATGGTTGTTTCAAACAGAAACATGTTAATTACGCATTAAATTTGACCGGGCTTACATTTCCAGTTTGCCGTCTTAATCGAAAAATAGAGTAATACTACAAAACTGCGCATTTCAATTAGTTTCTTCTGCGATGTTGTTTTTTTCCACGAGTCCACGTGCTTGCCTCCCCATTCCTTTTCCTATTCACAAGCCCAGATCGAAGCAGTCGTCGTCACTCGAAGGCGTTTTTCAGTAACTTCTAGTCCATTGATGGAAATGACATTGAGGTAAAGTCGACGAAATATTATATATAAAAAAAGGAAGGGAAAAATGCTAAAGGTTACGTCACCATAACTTATATTTATATCAAACTTTAAGAAGGTTTTAGGGATTAAAAAATACAAATGTTAGAAATTATTACTCAGCTGACTTCGAGATCATCTGCTTATATTATCTACAATACTTATATTATCTGCTATACCTATACTATCTATTATATTGTATTACAAGTAGAAAATGTAATACCTCTTGGGTGCACCCACTATATTCAATATTTTCCTTTTTAGTTTGGACAAACCTCCTTTTAAATTTGACCTCCGCTAAGGTTCATAAACACACAAAATAATATTATTTTTTTTGTGTTATACACACAGAGAATCTGGTTGTGTTTTTTTTCAGCCCACAACTAACGTCCAGTTGTCGAGTGGAAATACGAAAACAGTTACATACGTCTAAATATATAAAAATATATGTACAACGAGGCGAGACAATGCGAAATACATAGGGTAGGGAATTCAGGGGAACCTACAAAGGGGCTACTCCTTTATTTTGTCCTCCAATCCTCCCTCTACGAGAAGAAAGGAAAAAAAAAAGCCTTTTGCAGGGTTAACGATTGTCCTATACGACCAAAAAATACTGAGACTTGTGATTATCAAACAAATATAATTTAATAAAAACGTTATATATTTTATTAAAAGCGTTTTATATTTTATAAAAAATTTAACAAATTTTTTCCTGTACATGGGACCTCAACCTTCTTGTTCAGTTACATAATGCCTCATGAAAGAGTGGTGGCAGAAAGAAAATCTCCAACTGATGCGGCAATTGTCCCATTTATGCCCCATCTCCTGATGCCCCAGCCTCTTGCCTTCTGTCCCGGGTTGAATTTGTTCATTTGCACAGAGAGAAAATGGGAGACAAATTGCGTTCGAGTGTGAGCATGTAACGATACTTTAGACATCCGAAGAACACGCCACATTTTCTCAGTGTACTGTTGTCTGTTGTGGACTTTGTGTATTGCGTCAGTTTTCTGTTTGCTCATTCCGTGCGTAGTAGTATTGTTATTATTAAAATTTGCTGTCGAACGCAGGGAAATCAACTACGTAATTTGCTTTGCTGAACTTTTGTGTAAGTGGAAAATGGAACGCAGAAGAGACAATTTCATATCTGTGCGACACCAGCTATCAATAAAATAATATTTGCCTAAATTAATTACTAGTGTTAATTTAAAATAAAAAGAGTTTTAGAATTTTGCGTGTTTAAATATTTTCTTCTTTGTTGCTCCTTTTCGTTTCTTCATCAATTCGCGTAAGCACCTTCGCGACTGCGGCTCACTCACAAACACACACACAAAAAGGCACCACACAGATACACACACACACACTCACTTTGAGACGCACACACAGATACAGTGAGAAATTAGGACCAGCTGCTGCTCAAAAACTGTTCAGCATAATAACAAAGAAATTAAAAGAGCTTTCAATACTTCGCCTATCATCGGGTACACCCGAAAAAAAATTAGTCAACTACCAATGAGTTATTTATTCAAAGATCTTCTGGGTCTCAAGGCGAGAAAAATATATCTTTACGATAATTTCTATAAGAAATACAATACGTTTTTATGCGTTTAATTACTTCTTCATGGATCTTCAACTAATTGCAATTTATTTTCTTTTCTTTCTAGGTAAGTTTGCACGCGTTTAACCAAAGACATTACATACTTTTTAAGTAAGTCCATAACCTGCCTCCTTTTCTATGGTTTAACTATGCTAATTCATCGTATGCAACCTATAAGATTACACTTAATCGAAGTTGAAGAACTAATTCTGAATTATTGGTTTTTTTTTCTGGTTTTACAAAACCTTTGAGTGAAAAACCAACGCATTACGTTGACGTCATTGGGAGTTCTTTTTCGGGGAACTTGGAGAAGGTGGAGATAAAATATGAGGGCAAAGAAATCGAAGTTGGAAGCAGAAACGGGCGTCAGCAGGGAGATTGTTTGATTTACAAGTGCACTTGGACTAGAAATAGATACAGGCTGCAGGTTCAGATACAGATACAGATACCAGAAACAGATACATCTAATGTATCTAACTGTGAACGGGTGCGAGGGAGATGGCCCTCGTACCCCCACACACACACACACACTCGCATAGATCTATAACTGTTGTTATTTAATTGGATTATCATTGAGAAGGCAGCTAGCGAACGATTCCCAGCTAGTCACAATTTCCAATTAGACTTCCGAATGAGACGGGGAGAGCTGAATCCAATTGGAACAACAAAGCGTATAGGTGTAAAATGTTACAGCAAAAAATATTCATTAAACCTCTCAAAAAATGATATTTTTAAAAGAAAGAAAGTATTTGAGATTCAGTTATAATCACATGGGTAAAACAATACAACTGCTAATCGAAACTTTTGAAACGTGGCTATAGAATCTATATTTATTTATTCGCTTTACAATCTACTTTCGCCATGATCGCTATCATCAGCTCTCTTTTTTTGTTTCTTTCTCTATTTGTTCATTTTTCGTTATCAGCTTGTGTTTCTATATACTCTGTTTCTACATATATGTTTACTTATTTTTATTTGTTTATTTTTGTAATTGCTTTATGTCTATTTTTGTAATTTAGCAAACCAACGATAATGAAATAAAAAGAAATGGGAATAACCAAGGCAACTAAAAACTATTGAAACAATTATTAGACATGGAGAAAACATTTTTTAAGCAGTGCAAATCTGGTTCTCATTGTCTGTGTATCTTTCAGATGTGTTTATCTGTTTGTCCGTATACTTATATATATATATATATGTGTACATTTATGTCTATATCGGTTGCATTCAAATCCAAAGAAGTCGTCGAGAAAGGCAGTTGACAATTGTGGAATTGCGAATGCAATTGGAACTCAGCTGAAGCCGAGCGACGGAAAACTGTGACGGAAAACTGGTTTTCCACTACCCAACGTTCCACTTTCCCCCTCTTCCCCCTCGATATACACACACATATATATATATATATATTTTTATACACCCATGTAAGTGCAGTTCAATGAATCAAAGTTTCCATTAAAAAATATCTAAAACACATGTGCAGAGAGTAGAAAAAACTTTAAGCTACACTGGTGGTCAAAATCTGGCTTACTAAAAATCAATATTCAAAAGATCGTTTTCTGGTGAATACTGAAAATTGTTTAAAATTTGTTCATTTTCGGAAAACGCATTAATTCTTTTCACTTTGCATTTATTGTTTACATTTCATTGCAGTTTGCACGCCATCAAAAGTTAGCAAACATACAGATATTCTGGCTATATATCACTGATCTGCACACCTTACTTTTACAAGAACCAAGACTTTGTAGATATTAATTGTTAGAAGAAGCCGGTGTACTGACTCCGAGCAATATATAATAATATTCAAGGGGAACAAACCTAAAAATTGCAGACTATAGAGAGCATAGTAATGATGTCTCTACTATATCACGATATACAAATTAAAATGTTTTTTTTTTTTTTGCAAGTTCAATAAGATAAGTTCTTAGGGCATTTCCTATTCGTCACGATCTGAAATGCACTCTTCTTTATATATTTTTTTTGTTTGTGTTTCTTTTCTCGTATTTTGCACTTGAACGACTTTCAATTGAAATTTGTATTTATGTAATCGGAATCATCTACATACACTTTGTACATGGCATACAAATATATATATATATATTTTTATATATATATATACTCCTCTGTTGCCGATTTGTTCGCTTTGCTTTGTTCGCTTGGCCCATAAACAAAGCAATTTACATACAGACACACTCGTGTACATTGCAATTGCCTCTCTAAAGAGATTGTTATTGTTGTTGTTGTTGTTGGTGTTTGTGTTGTTGTTGTTGTTATGGCTGCCATTGCAATCAATGACCAACAAAAAAAAAAAAAAACAAAATTCGAAAACCGAATCGAACTCTCGGACCTCCAAAAACAAAAAAAAATGGAACAAAACAAAGTACAAATTGCACTTTACACCAAACGAACAAAGTACTGGTGAAAAATGTATAATTAGCTTTCATCAATTTCTTGTTCAAATTCACTCGTACACCTGTCCAATTTTTACCTAATTTCTTCTTATTACCTTATTACCATTTACATAAATAATATGCTCCTTTAGCTCTGTTTCAGCTTGCTAACTTGGTTTTCAAAATTCCATTCCATTTTAAGTGATTTCCGATGACAAAGTTGCGAAACTACTCAAGCTTTTCTCAGTAGTTGTCTCTCTGTCTCTCTTTCTCTCGTTTGCTCCTGTATACCTGTCTCTGTTTGCCTGATATTTTTTATTGGCATTCGCCCATTTTTCAGAGCTGAACTTTAGGCCTTAGCAACAGCTGTTCTACACGGTTGCTATATATAGAAAAAGTGTCTATATATAGTAAACATGGCTTCACATCGATTTATTCGGTTTCTTATTTTTTTTCGTAATTGCCCAAAGAGAAGGGCAGATAAATAATGCACAAATCTAAAGTGTAATTCCCAAATCGACTTCCAAATTCCACTCTTGGCTTAAAGTTCAAAATTCAGTTCGCACTCGAATTGCGAGTTGAAAACTTAAGTAATTGCTGGGCAAACAAACTTTAGATAAGTTGAGCCTTTTAACCTTTGATTTGGAATAACACTCGGACTTGCTTTAAAATAATACGCAGATTTTTTCTTGATTTTACGGCAATGAAGCATTTGTTTATTAATCCGACTTTGTTGCACTTCATGGACAATAAAGATTATTTTTTCCTTCTTAATTTTGCCTTCCCGTAGGAAAAAACATTTTCTGCGGGAGCTATCAAGGCGTATACTTAATGTAATATAATTCATACGCTGCGTGGGCCAGAAGGAAAACGGAAATAGTTTAGAGAATATTTTTGTAATTAACTAAGATTATATTCATTTCCTTGAGACCTAATATTTTTGTTTATTAGTATTATATTTTTTCCTTGCGATTGACTCAACTTAATTCGCGTGACAAGCCATGATTATAAACTCGTAATCCCTTAGCCTCGCCTTTTTATATACTTTCGCGTATTTGTTATTTGTTTTACTGAATATATTTTCCTGACAATTTGCAATTAAAGTTTTTTAAATTTAAAAAAATAAATACTTATAATAAAAACAATAAAGGCATTCCAATGCGGGGAAAACTGAGGGAAGTAATGAAAAACAAAGTGGGCGGCTGGGGAAGCAGCCGGAGAATTCGGGTAGGAAAAGCAGATGCGACGGGACCATAAAACCGACAAACGACAACACGAAGGATGCGATGTCCAAAAGCAGTCGAAAGCCCCCCGGAAAACCCCCTTGGAATTTCCCTAACCCACGCCTGCGTGTGTCGTCTTTCGTCCTGCGTTTTCCTTCCTTTTTTTTTTGTGTGTGTTTTGCCTTTTTATTTCTTTCTTTTTTTTTCCACCCACTTATTTCATTCCCTTTTCTCGTACCTTTTGTTTTACGCTTTCGTACTTGCCGCTTTGCTTCTCCCCATTTTCCGCTGTCTGTGCGGCTCCATCATCTCGTTGGGAAAACTTTAAATAATTTAACACGCTAACCCCGCCCCTTAATTTCCCCCCAGTTTCCCCCGCACTGCCCGCCGCCTTTTGGCCTGTGGTGAATTACAAGTGTCGAATGGAAAACTCAAGAGTGGGCCGGCGGGTTGGTTGGTTGGTTGGTTGGTTGGTGGTTTTCCATGTGTTGAAATCAGAGTCATGTTGAGTTAGTTTTTCCGATGGGGAACGGGAACCGGAAAATAGATGGAGTGAATGTGTGTTTTTGTAGCATATTTAGCTGCGCAACGTTTCCCTGAACTTTAACACAAAGACTTCTGGCCATCTGTGTGTGTATGTGTGTTTGTGTGTGTTTGTGTGTGTGTGTGTTTGTTGGTGTGATTGTTTCCAACGAAGGGACTATTTTCAACAATTTTAATTTAATAACAAATTCTCAGGGAATTGATTAGATAACTTTATTGAATAAATCCAAAATAAATATTTTTGGTTACCATATAAACAAGTTTATTATTTATTAAACAAACTAATTGTTTTTATTTTTTACTTTCAGGTAAGGCTATAAAAAGTTTGTTATTTTTTGTGTCTTGAAATACTTTTTATGGATATAGCAAAGCGATGTATCTGTCCTACGTGAGTATTACTAGAAATGAACGAGGCTTTTATTCTTGTTGGGAATGGGAATTAAACTATGTTTAAATTAATTATTGTAACGAAATGTTGAGGGTCTGCAATTGATTTAATTACATTTTTCATTTGAACCTTTGCGAATGAAGAGGAATTTTCGTTGGCTGCGGGAAAAGCGTTGCAACATTCGTGGAAAACTTGCAAACTGGAAAATGTCAATCGTTGGCAGAATTTTCTCGGCTTTGTTGTTGTAGTTGTAGTTGTCGTTGTTGTTGCCTTTGCTTACACGTCTCTAGGCCATGTCCGCCATTTTGTCCGGGCCTTTCTCCGTCCCCCGTCCCCCGTGCCCCGACCCCGCCCACCTCTTCGCCCACTTTTTCCACCCAGAACCACCCACCACGTCCCTGGACGCCACTCTTTTTGGTCCGTTGCTAACCAATAAGTTTGTGACTTCCGCCAAATAGCGCGAGACACGCACACATTCATGTACGTGGAGTGGGGTCTTCCCCTCCCCCCTCTTCACCACCCAACTTTCCCCACCCCTTGTTACGTCCTGTGGAAACATTCACTCCGCCATTTTGAAATTGATACACAGCCCAAAAAGGAGACGAGGAGAGAGAAGAACAGCGGCGGGGGCCTTTAAAAAAGGGACACACAACGAGAAAAACATGATACTGTCTTCATTTCTCAGTAAAATAATAAAGTAAAACAACTAAATGAACGAAAATAATTTGATTTTAATTTTTAAGTTTTTTTTTATATATCCAAAATATGTATAGAATAGGAGTCAAATGTAGTAATTGCCAACAATTTTTTAAAGTGAAAAAAAATGGGTGGCTCCAATTTTGGGAAGAGGCAAAGTGGATTTTAGAGTGCAGCAGGTGCAGGAACGCCGATTGCATTGGCACAAAGCACACGAACACCAAATACTCACACATACACACGCACACACACGTGCAGATGCTCTCGTACTCACGAACACACACACCAATGCAAAGGCACGCAACTCAAACGCACACAAACTTTCCATATTTCCAGGCGAGTTTGAAATATTGGCTTTAGCTTCGGCTTTGGCCTCTGTGTATTTGGCAGGCCATTCTACCACCCCCCCCTCCCCCCTTTTTGCCCCACCCACTTTTCCTCCTCTTCAGCCTTCTCCTCCTCCCTCTTAACCGCCATCTATGGCCCAGCTCTCCTCTCCTTCTCCCCTTCCCTCTTCCCCTTTTTACCGCTAGTTATTCAGCCTCTGCTGATGATTGCATTGCTTTCTCCAACCGATACACTTATCGATAATTCATGGGATTACGAATTTAGATTACGGCTGTCACTTTTCGCAATGATTTGCCTTTTTTTTTCTTTTAAACTACATTAAGAAATAACTTAACGATTTTGCTTAAAACGTATTCAGTG